GGGCTAGGATTGGCATGCACCCTCACACTCAGGTTGCATTTTTTGTTTTGTTTTGTTTTTTGTATTCTTGTATGTTTTATCCTATTCGTCATAATGCCTCTTTAAATATGTACTTGTTTTTTTGCTAAATTACCATTGTGACTTCTCTCTTTCTTTGGGTATTTCCAAGTTATTTTCTTAGTGGTTACCCTGGGATTTCAATTACCCTAACTTGTGACAAGTCTGTTTCTGTATTATATATCTCTCTGGCTTCAATAGCATACCCACACTCCCCTCCTCCACTTACACATTTCTCCGCTTTTCTTTGTTATGTTTATACAATACATCTGTAGACATTGTATCCTCTCTAATAGATCTGTAATAGTATCTGAGACAGTTGTTTTAGAATGGTCTGAAAGTAGGGAAAGTTTCAGAGCCAGCGGGGATGGAGAATTAGCTCAGCAGTTAAGAGCACCGGTTGCTTTTCTAGAGGGCCAGAGGACCGGTTCAGTTCCCAGAAATCCCAGAGGCCCTGACCTCTTCTGACCACTGAGGGCACATAAATACATGCAGGTAAAACATTCATACACATGAGATTAAAAAATAAACACATTTACAAATAGAAAATAGCCAGGAAGTGGTGGCACACACTGTTAGTCCTAGCAAAGGCAGGAGGATCTCTGAGTTCAAGGCCAGCCTGGTTTACAGATCATGTTCCAGGACAGCCAGGGCTACACAGAGAAACCCTAACTCAGAAAGCTAAAATAAATAAAAAGTAAATTTTAAAAAAGGAACTCTGCAGTATGACTCCCTGGTAGAAGAGCACCGAGTTAAGGTCTGGGGAGGAGGGGGACCTGGGGAGGAGGGGGACCTGGGGAGGAGGGGGACCTGGGGAGGAGGGGCACCTGGGGAGGAGGTGCACCTGGGGGAGGGGAGCATCCTGGGAGGAGGGGAGCATCCTGGGGGAGGGGCATTCAGAGAGGAGGGGCATCGTGGAGGTTTCCAGAGCAGCAAACCCTGGGATTGGGATTACATTTTGAAGAACAACAACAACAAAAAGTTTATTATGTAAGCCTGCTTTTTCACAGGAAAATACGTCAAAATGTTTCATTTAGGGCAGAAGGCATGAGACCAAAAAGCGTGGGTGACCTCATTTTCCGTGACTGCATGTGTATTTACACATTTAAAGGTGTCTGAGTATACACACATAGAGAAACACTCACGACTACAGTCCAGGTGCTGCCCCTGGTCTCCAGCTGTTGAGCGATGGGAGGAGGGGACACCCCCATCTCTCCTTAGCACTTCTATACTGCTTGTCCTGTTTGCAGTGAACACACATCACTCTTGGGATCACGAGAAAAGCACCTACACTGTCTTTGTCTACTTGTTTGTTTGTTTGTTTGTTGTTTGCTTTTGTTTCTCTCCTGCACCGTCAAGGGGGAGGCATTCGCTGTGGAGACAGAGTGGGGAAGGACCTGGGAGGCAGAGGGAATGGCACAGGAAAATGCAGGGTCAGACACACACACACACACACACACACACACACACACACACACACACACACACACGCTCCGTTATAGGAAATGCCGCCCCTGGACTGGCTGGAGAGCACTGGGGTTGCTGGGAAACAGGTGTTTCCAGGGACCCCATTTGTCAAGGCCTTTCATGTCACAAAGAGTCTGTGGTTGGCAAGAGAGTAGCAGATTTTGATTTCCAAGTTTTGCTTTGTGTATTAAGCCAGCTAGTCAGTGTAGGGAGGGAGGAAACCAGAGGCTGGGAGGCCTACATGGGGGACTGCTGTAACAACTGCCGGAAGAGAAGATGGGGCTGGAGGTGAGTCAAGGCTAAGAAACGGAAATAAGAGATAAGGGGAAGGGGTCAGACCTGAAGACCGGCCCAAGCTGTTTGAACAAGGGCTCCTAGGCTGTGGCCCTGCCTGGCGTGTTGTATCGATGGCAGGAAGCCAGGTCTAGGGATGATCAGGGTGAGGATGCTGCTGATTCACGGTGAGGAAGAGGAAAGTCCCTCAGCAGAGCTCAGGAGCCCTCTCCAGCTTGCAAAGTCCCCGACTTCCGACTCCTGGTGTATCAAATGCATGTCCAGGGCTGAAGGGTCAGGTAAGGTGCCTTCCGCATAAACCTGACATCCCAAGTTTGATTCCCCGGAATCCAGAGGGTGGAAACAGAGAGCCAACTCCTGAATTTTTCCCTCCGCCTTCTATATTCATGTCATGGCGTGTGTGCATGAAAACATAATAATAATAAAAATAAAGATATATTTAATTTATGCTACCTGTCTTCACAACGAAAAGCCAGGAGCGGGAATGCAGCCAGAGCAAGAACTAAACATCAAACAACTTTCCCAGGCACGGGTGAACAGCCATCATTGTCCCCAGCAGAGCCGAACAGTCAGTGCTCACTTTTGCTCTGTGTGAACTTGAGCAGGCCACATCACCTCTTTGTACCTCGGGCTGTCTTCTCCAACACGGAGGAAACCCTACAGGTGCTTCGTGTGTTTCTGAAAAGATAAAGATGCAGTTTGTGTAAGAACTCAGAAGAGACCAGGGCTTACAGGAAGTGATCATAAACACAGGGGTCCCCACTGCTGTGAAGAATGGGACCCAGAGCTGGGACTTCGCCAGGCACTGGCCTTAGGCCTCAGACACCTGCTCCTAGGACCAGCCTTGAATTCTGCCTTACGGGTCTCGCCCACCCGAGCTCCAGGCTCTGCAGTGGCCACTCTGTCGGCCCGTTTTCATGCACCTTTAGTGCTAACTTGTCTGCTGCATCAGATAGTCATCAAACACATCACATCCGCTCTGGGCCATTGCTAGGGGCTGAAATGGCAAAGAAAATTATGGCCTAGGCCTTAACTTGATTCCCTCCTAGCTCCTGGGATGACTCATTGAACATCCATGAAACACTCCTCTAGGCCACACACAGGCATCTGTTTCACTGTTTCTGTCCTGCATTTGGACACAAAACAATTATTCATGGAGTCCCTTAAAGGAGTTATTTAGTTTCCAATCTTGTTCTCATTCTTTTCTCCCAAGTACCCACCTTGTGATACACTCCAGATCATACAGAGGCAGCAACACCGACTCTACAGACTTCTTCCCCATTTCCCCTGACGGAAGACCCAGCACTAGTTCCCAGAGTGTGTGAATACTGTCTGGGCTAGGCCCTATGGGGAAGACAAGGAACATCCCAAAGCAAACCCTCAGAGCATCTCCACCCAATGGCTCATTCATTCTTTTTATTTTATTTTATTTTATGTTTGGTTTTTCAAGACAGGGTTTCTCTGTGAAACAGTCCTGGGTATCGTGGAACTCACTCTGCAGACCAGACTGGCCTCAAATTCACAGAGATCCTCCTTCCTCTGTCTCCCGAGTGCTGGGATTAAAGGTGTATGGCACCCCCCCCCATTTTCTTAAACACTCTTTTCATCCTGATTTATTGTATACATGTGTGCACATGCATGAAGGCATTCTTGTCAGAGCACATGGATGCAGATCAGGGGAGAGTTTGCAAAATCAGTCCTCTCCTCTCCCATGTGGGTCCCAGGAAGTGAACCCAGGCCATCAGGTTTGGTGGCACCCACTCATTCCTTCCACATGTTTCTAGAGTCTCTGAAACTCTGGTAGAGGCTTTGGGAAAGCGAGTGAGATGAAATCTTGTAATAGACACAGCAACATCTCGTTGATGAGCAGTGTCCCGAGCCGTCTGAGGGACAAATGCCGGGCAAATGAGCACATAAACAGATTTCTGTGTTCACGGTCCAGGCTCAGACGCTCATATGGGAGAGTGGGCGGGCCTGTGGCTAGGCTACATCTGCTGTTTAAGTTTGAGTTCAGCAGCTACCCTCTCTGAGCTTTTGTTTGCTATGGTAGCTCCCTGTCTGCCTGTCCTATGGAAAAGGGGAGAGCTAATGTGTGCGAGGGTTGACATCTCAAGTGCCACAGCTGTTCTAAGTAGGTACAGAAACAGGTCACTGACACACAGTGTGGAATAAAACAGTGGGGACCCAAGTCATCCTGGGATCAGTGAGAGAAGTGACACCATGGCAGGTGCCACCCAGCCAGAGGGGAGGGGCTGGACACAGATGCATAGACACACACACAGGCACATAGACACACACAGACACAGACACACAGACACAGACGCAGACACACAGACACACACACACACCGGTTGTCTCTGGTACCCACTGGCTACCCTCAAGGGAAGCAGTTCTATGAGGGATGGAGTAGCTGGGAAAGGAGAAAAGACAGAGACACAAACATTATCTGAGGATTGGGGTGGGGATTGCTTGCCTGGCCCTGCACCACAAAAACCAGGCATAGTAGCAAATATCTGTAACCCGACAATCGCGGATGGAGGCAGGAGGATCCTTCGCTATGTAGAGAGTTTGGGGCCAGTCTGGGCAACATGACAGCCTGTCTTAAACAAGAAGGCTGGAGCCAGCTCAGCAGGTAAAATCCCTTGCTAGGAAAGCCTGACAACCTAGTTCAATCACCAAAAGTCACATAAAGATGGGGAAACCACAAAGTTGTCCTTTGACCCCCACGCTGTGGCACACGCATGCCACACACATCTCACACACACACACACACACACATCACACACACAGAGTGATAAATGATAAATAAAATTCAGATAAAACACGTAAACCTCACATCTCTCCATCAAAGATACCCTTCTAAAAGGGCAATGGACCCACCCCTCTCGGGCAGGTGACAGGGGCAGACATCATTCTTAGGCTCTGGGTTAGAAATGGCCATGGGTCGACAGGGTTAGAGAGACTGGGCCAGTCACGTTACAGTTGCCCTTTGACCTCCCCCATTCCGCCTCTCCCTGGGGTGTGCAGGGAAGTCCATTGGGCACGAGGCAGGGCTGTAGGTCTGGGCGGGTAGAGGAAGGAAAGACAGACACTGGTGCATAAAAAAGACTTGAATCTGAGATGAACGGTCCAGGACGGCAGGACAGAGGGGTGCGCCTGGCAGGGGTGGGGCTGCAGTTTGGAAAACACAGGAGCGATACAAGGGCGGGGCGGAAGTCGGCCCGTTCTCCACCCCATCACGGCAGCATCCTGATATGGGACCATCCCTTCTGTACCAGCCCCGCTCCAACCCCACCTGACCAGGCGGCCCCGCTCCTAGTCCTATGCCCACAGGGACCAGGACGTGGGCAACGAAAGCCAGACAAGCCCTGACGTAGACAGCCCTGCGACCCCCGAGCGCCGCCTCCTCCACAGCCGTAAGTCAAATACTCCTGTGGTTTGGGCACCAGCCAAGCGCCCACACCCCAGCTCACGGGACCGCAACTTCCCTATTGCATCAGGTTACACAGCTCGTGCACACAAGCCGGGAGCTTGTTACACAACCTTGGTGCGCGCACTCGACACCCACATCCTCCGGGTAGCCTGACGGTCACACAGAGGAAACCACAGCCTTGTGAGCAGGACACGGGCTCGATTCCAGACTCCTGGCATCTAGACCTGGGAGGAAGGGAGAAGCAACGGCTTGTGGCTGGGAGCCAGGCCCGTGAGTTCCCCTGCTGGCCTGCTGTGGAGCCCCCAGAGGTCACATCTGGGGCCCTGCTTCCTTCCTTCCTTCCACGACGATGATCCCGATATCCACACCCCAGTGCCAGCCAGGTCACTCAAACGTCTACCAACACCTCTTCCCCTGGGGATGCCAGCAAAAGAAGGGGTAGGAATTGAGAGCAGAGACAGAGTGGATGAGATGACTTCTAAAAGAGTCTTTTCTTTTTATTACACACACTATGTTTTGTCTGGTGTGTGTGTGTGTGTGTGTTTGCCACAGCTTGTGTGTAGAGGTCAGAGGAAGACTTGCTGACGTCATTTCTCTCCTGCCATGTGTGCTCTGGGTATGGAACTTCGATTGTCAGACCCGGCATGAAGCAGCACCTTTGCCTCTGAGCCATGGCCCCGCTCTAAAGGGACCTTTTCTGTTGGAGCTCTTCCTGACGAGGGAGAGGATCCACTAGCTCAGGGAGTAGCAAAGGTACTGTGTACTTTTAAAAGAGTATTATTTAATTATAATACAACGACATCATTTTCTCCACACGTTTTCTCTCCATCATCCTACAGCAAACATGTTTCACTCTTCTTCGTGGTAAGTGGGGGAGGGGCGCAGTTGATCATGGACGTCCCCAGGCCCCAAGTGCCCTCTAAGCCAGATAAGACCTCAGACTCGTGTTTCTCTGGAGCACGTGTGGGAAATGAGTGCAGATGCACATGGCTTGCACATGCTCCTTGCCTGGCCACCGACACGCAGAGATGGGAACATGGGAGATGTCTCCGTGGGAAGCATCCTCAGAGACACTTTCTCAGAACTGCCGGAAGCCTGGATCCCGTAGGCAGAAAGGTCAGAGTTCATGAAGCCTTGAGGCCTGGAAGGGAACCAAGGCTGGATGACCGAGACAGTTGCTGCCAGTGAGTGGAACCCCAAGCCTCTGCCCTGCATCCTGGTTATGCCACAGGTAATGATGCAAGAGGCCCAGGGGTGGTTCTGGTCCCTTCCTAAACTTACTTAGATCTGCAGTGACCCCTGCTGGTTCTGACCATAATCAGTCCTCTGGCAAGTTCTAGCCCGCCTGTCCCCTCTCCAATATCTGCCCTGCCAGCATGCGCCACTAGCTTTGGCCTCGCCCTATCAGGATTCCTCACAGAGACCACCACACTGTTAGCAAACCTTCACTGACTTTCCCAGGAAACGGGCCAACCCTTGCGGCAGATGATTCCCAAGAGATGAACGCCCTCTCTGCATCAGTCCGGTTCTCAGATGAGAGACAAATCTCGGCTTGCAAACCACGTCCCTAGCTCCAGAACCAAAGCACCACCAACTGTGCTGCCCTTGTCCTGCTGGTTCCCCAAGGCCACCCTGAGCACAGTATTCAAGCTTCGTGTTATCTGCCCAGAGCTCATTGCTTTGGGGAAGGGTGGTGAGTCAGTAGACCTTGCCCATGGCTTTCAGAAGTGGCGCTGTCTTCTACATGGAAAGCTGGGCTGCGGATTTGGGATTTGACTTTGTATCTGGACCCACCCTCCTGGATACACGTGGCTTGCAGGAAGGTGACTCCTCCTCCATGGGGGGTGGGGGTGGTGGACGGACACATGATTTACACCTGGCCATTCAAGCACGGCACATCTTGACCACAGTGACTGGCTCAGAGAGGACATATGACCAGCCCTGACCAATCAAAGGCAGTGCCAGGGTTTTCCTGAAGCCACCGAGAACAGAACAGCTTTCCATCCTGAAGCTGCAGAACAGGTGTGTGTCAGGAGCTGCTAGGAGCTTTGCCTGGGGGACATCATCCAAAGAAGGAAGTCCACCACAGACAGCAGAGGCCAAAGTCCTGACGACATTGTCTGGGCTGTGCCAAGGACAGGCCCACCTCTGCACTCTACGATGGGAGAAGCCAATAAATTCCTCCCCTCCCCCTCCTTGCTCCTGCCTCCTGCACATGAGTTGAGTTCCTTTTCTTTGAAACCAAGATCTTTCCAAGCCGCCCCCAACCCCCCAGTGTAAATCATTGTTAACGGCTCTGTCTTCCTGGCTTCACTCCCATGCTTACATAGACATGCTGGACATTTTTAAATAAAAAGTGACACCGCTGGCCACTCCTTCCTTTGGGATAGGCTACCTCAGTCCTTTTGTGAAAGCTCCCCGGTCTGTATCACTACCCGGCTCCCCTCCCCTCAGGACCCCTCCATCTGTGATCAGAACAGTTTCCTTCACCGGTTCCTTTTGTCCGCAAGTCAGACACCAACTGTTACATCATGAGCAAACGTGGGAGAACATACTGGGAGAGTATGAGGAGGCAGGGCAGAAGACTAGGAAGCCGGGACACACGGGCACAGGGTGGACAGGCCCCTCTGTCCCAGGTTACGGTGGTCAAATGTCCAGGCCTAGGTTGGCCTCCTGAATTCAGATCCTGAGTCTATGGGACAGACCCCTCCAACTCTGGCATGGGAAGAAGGTCATATATATGACTTTTCAGGCATGAGACAGAGGCAGCGTCTCCAAAGGTTCACCAAAGACAGGAAGTCAGGAAATGAGGGTAACTGGGTTTCCCCTCCTTCTTACCCCTCAGGTCTCCTTGCTCCTCTCCATAGTGATGGGTTCAGCTGCCTACATTTCCCAGTAGAGCTCTCCAGCCAGGAACTGTCGGAGAGTCCAGTCCCTTCCATGCAGGAGGCTCACAGACCTCTAACCCTGTGGGCACACTCACTTGTCCTGCTCACCGAATCTCTCCTTTCATTTTTTGAAGACAGGGTCTCATGATGTCACCTTGGCTGCTCTGGAATTCACAAAGCCACCTGCCTCCCGAGTCCACCACACCTAGTCCCAAATCCACTCCCTTTTCAGGGCAATCACCCCCATTTTAAGGTTCTGCCTGCCTGAGGGCCTTTTCCTGTCAACTCTGTCACCCCTCTGGTCTCTTTGGACTCCCAGTCATTATCCTTTCTCCAGTGACATTTCTGCTGAGTCTGACAAAACACAAAAAGACTCTTGTCAAAACTGCCCCAGATCTGCTGTTTACGACAACAAACAAGAATTCCCCCTGTAGCTGGTGAGGTCAATGATGTTTAGGCAGGCATGATATACTCTGCCCACAAATAAAGATCCTTCACGCAAAGAGCATGCCCCTCCCTCCTTTTCTCCTTCCCACTGACTAGCCTGTGGTGGAATGGCTGGAGGTGGAGACGCCATTTTGGACTATGACGCAGAAGCTGAGTCCCTTACTCACAGCTGAACCTAACCCTAACCCATTGCTGTCTTCCTTGCAATCTCTGCTTCAACACCACTTCCTCAGGGAAGTCTGCCCAGATAACTCAGATTCCCACAAGCCCAACAGGGAGTCTCTCACTGGGAACTAAGCCATTTTTTATGTAATAATTATTTTTTAATAATTTCCTTTTTTTGTTACTCAACTTGAACACAATGTCCAAGAACTGAACCTGCTTCACACCACTGACTCCTCATTGCCAGGAGTAGTCACTTGAGAAAGCTTAGTGGTTGATACGTGGGCGAATGAGCAAACTGTACACCTTTTTATTTCTGTTTATTCATGTTATTGCACTATGGAAAAGGGCTTTGTGTATCCCAGGATGGCCTCGAACTCACTATGTAGCTGAAGGTAACCATGAACTTCCGACCCTCCTGAGTGCTGGTATGACATGTGTGGACGGCCATGCCTGGTTCATGCAACCCCTAGGGTCTCATGCATGCTAAACAAGCGCTCTGTCAACTTGACCTATGTCCCCAGCCTCGAACTTGGAATTTCAAAAGAAACTCCTGCACCCTTCATTGCCCAGAGATGAAGTCTCTACAGCAGCTTGCACAGATGGACTCAACCACACCCTCCTCCCACAGTTTCTCCCTTAGCATCTCACCCCTGCATGTGGAGGCATATCCCCCAGTACCCATCCCTCCTCACCCCTGCATGTGGAGGCATATCCCCCAGTACCCATCCCTCCTCACCCCTGCATGTACAGGCATATCCCCCAGTACCCATCCCTCCTCACCCCTGCATGTACAGGCATATCCCCCAGTACCCATCCCTCCTCACCCCTGCATGTACAGGCATATCCACCAGTATCTCATTCCTCACCCCTGCATGTGGAGGCATATCCACCAGTATCTCATCTATCACCCCTGCATGTGGAGGCATATCCACCAGTATCTCATCTATCACCCCTGCATGTGGAGGCATATCCACCAGTACCCATCCCTCCTCAGCCCTGCATGTACAGGCATATCCCCCAGTACCCATCCCTCCTCACCCCTGCATGTACAGGCATATCCCCCAGTACCCATCCCTCCTCACCCCTGCATGTACAGGCATATCTACCAGTATCTCATTCCTCACCCCTGCATGTGGAGTCATATCCCCCAGTACCCATCCCTCACCCCTGCATGTACAGGCATATCTACCAGTATCTCATTCCTCACCCCTGCATGTGGAGTCATATCCCCCAGTACCCATCCCTCACCCCTGCATGTGGAGGCATATCCACCAGTATCTCATTCCTCACCCCTGCATGTACAGGCATATCCCCCAGTGCTCCATTCCAGCCTCTGTGACTCTACACACTCCTTTTCTGAAAACTCTGTGATCGGGAGCTGGAAAGATGACTCAGTAGTTGAGAACAACTGCTGTTGTTCCCAGCAGCCGCACTGGGCAACGTACAGCTCATCTCTAACTCCAGTTCCAGCGCACCCAGTGCCCTCTTCTGGCCCGTGAGGGTGCCTGCACTCACAGACACACAGACACACACATACACATGATAATGATAATGATAATGATAATAATAATAGTAACAATAATGCCTTTTGAGCTGGAGAGATGGCTCAGTGATTAAAAATACTTGCTGTTCTTTCAGAGGACACACATAAAATACATCTTAAAAGGTTTTATCTGCTAACTTTTTATGTTTATTTATGGCTATGACTGTTTTCTGCATGTCTGTCCTGTACTGCCTGCGTGTCTGGTGGCCCTGCAGATCATGAGAGGGATCTTGTCCCCTGGAACTGGAGTCACAGATGCGGTGAGCTGCCCTGTGGGTGCTGGGAACAGACCTGTGTCCTCTGCAAGAGCAGCCAGTGCAGCCGGCTGGTGGTGGCGCACGCCTTTGATCCCAGCAGAGGCAGAGGCAGGCTGATCTTTGTGAGTTTGAGGCCAGCCTGGTCTACAGAGTGAGTTCCAGAATAGCCAGAGCTACACAGAGAGACCCTGTCCCCCCCCCCCCAAAAAACAAAATAAAACAAGAAAAAAGATCAACAGTGCTCTTAACCATTGAGCTATCTCTCCAGCTCCCCAAACACAATCTTCCAAAAAGAGTACTCTGGGATCCTTTGCTCCCACAGCCAAGTCTGGAGTAATGGGTCTCAGAGTCTCACCCCATCCCTTGAGAAGTGGCTCGCAGAAGACCCATGATCTCATTGGGGTGGTCAGCCAGTCACAGGGAAAAAGACATACCAGAGGAGATTCACCTGATCTTCTGGTCCTCACTGGCTGCCTATCTCATGGCCACATCCTGAGATTTCCTTTGTTTGTCTCTGTGCCCCACCCTTTGGGAACCCTCCAAAGCTGTAAACTAGGAGGGATGATGAATGGCGGGTACTCTCCACCGGGCTGTGAGCGTAAGGACAGGCCTAGCATGTATTTCTAACCCCAGCACAGGGCCAGCATCGTAGGCACTTAAAACACAGTGCACACTGGATTACAAAAAAAAAAGACTATCTGGGATATGGCTTTGGGAGAAAGAAAGGACTCCGTCTGAATGACAATTTGAGGAGTTTCCTGTTCCCTGGGTGCTCTGAGGGACTAGAGGCGCAGTCTCCTCCATGTCCTGAGGAGGTTGTGTGTCCAGTTAGGAGGGGCTTGAAAGTGCAGCATTGTTGGGGACTTGAGACCTTCTCCTCCTGGTCTCCATGCCTGGGTGACCATAACTGGCTATTGTCTCAGACAGATGCTCAAGCTGTCTCTCTGATAGAGTACAAAGAGGCAGTAGCTATGGGGGGCACTGGAAAACAGACCAGACATACCAGGGTCTTCCAGGCTGTCGTCTCCAGCCCCCTCAAGCTCCTTCCCAGGGGGGATCCTTTGTCCTCTGCAAGAACAGCAAGTGCTCTTAACCCCTGAGCTGTCTCGATAGCCTGGAAGCAAGAGACAGCCTAAAATCAACCTCTGGCCTCTACATGCATTCATGGGTACATTCACCCCTGCACACCCACGTACACCGAAACACACACAAAGTAGCTAGATATTGTGGCGCACACCTTTCTCTTAATAACTTACTTATTTCTATTTTATGTACATTGGCGTTTTGCCGGCATGTATGACTGTCTGAAGGTGTCATGTTGTGCTTGCTGCCACACGGATGCTGGGTATTGAACCCGGGTCCTCTAGAAGAGCAGTCAGTTCTCCTAACCACTGAGCCACCTCTCCAGCCCCCAGTGGCATGCACCTTTAATGCCGGCACTCAGAAAGCACAGGCAGTCAGTGAATTTGATACCAGCTTGGTCTACATAGGGCGTTCCAGGCCAGCCAGGGATATATAGTGAGATTCTGTCTCTAGTAATAATAATAGTAAGGTGATTGTCTAAAGGATTTAGGGATGTCTGCTGTGCTTATGTGCTCATTAAATAAGACTGTCATTCCTGTGTCACTGTGTCCCGAGTCAACAGATCTTCTGAGGAGTGGGTTGCAGGGGACAAGGGGAGATGGCTCCGCTAGTGCATTTATTTCCCAAGAGTCTGGGTAGCAGTCTCTACCCCCCCTTCAGGCTCTCTGTACCCCCCTCCAGTCTGCTGTCTCCATGACTCAGTGGCCCTCAGCCCCTCCAGTCGCCAGCCTGTCTGCCCGGCTCTCACGCCTGATGCAGAGATAGGCACATCCAGCGATAGCATTGTTCCCTACTTCCCCTGCTTCCCAGGTTCTCAAGCGTGATGAGCCCGGAGGATGGGATTAGCCAGGCATGCTGACAGGTTAGGGTTGGAAGGCGTGAGAGACGTGTTCCCGAGCTGGACGGCCCTGCTCCTCAAAAGCAATGTAGGTAGCTGAGTTTAGAGGGGAGGGTCAGAGAACAGCTGTGCCCTGAGCTTCTGGAACATTCTGTCATCCCCAGATATAAAGC